GAGATGGGACACTTGCTGGCCGAGCCGTGAAACTGCATCTCATCACTTGGCCCTCTAAATAGCTGTGAAATGGAGACAGGCTGCAGAGGACGGTGGAGGTGTTTGAGAGCCTTGGTTGCAGGCTCAAGACGGTTGCTCCGACTTTGCCAGTTATATATGAAAGTCACCCATATTTCCTTGAGGTCCAGCTGTCTCCGCTGTTAACATTTATTCTCTCAAGATGACTAGCAGGGGTCAATAAGAGAGTATGCCCAAAAAAGCTACTGCACAAACAATCCGTTACCTCAAAAAAAAAAAAAAAAAAAAAAAAAAAAAAAAAAAAAGAAGCATGGATCTGTCTGATCACACATGTAAGAGCACTTGATATAATGGTCAAAATAAGCCCAGGGAGTTAATGTCTGATCACCTGCTTTTACAGCCAAATGGTGCCAAAGTCTGAGTTTCTTTAGTAGGAATATTTTTTTGCATGGCTGGGTCTTTGAGGGGAAGTAGCACTCTTAAGGCCAGTAGGGAGGGAGACTGACCTATGATGTATCCATGAATCAATTCCTAGATAAAAGGAGTCTGTGTGAACCCATCTTGGGGTCTGAACTTGGCAAGCATTCTGTTTACTGAACAGAACAATGAGCATTTGGGGGTCATATTAAGACCTTTGCCCATAATATTGTTGATGGGGCAACGCAAGGCTCTACTGAAGGAGGGCTAGATGGGACATGGGATTTTACTTGTTGCTCTTACCCTGGTTGCTGCTGGAGTCATTAAGCCTTTTCAAGGCAGAGTAGGGACTGTTGCTGTATGGACCTGGAAGGAATTCCTATTATGCTATAATTCCAGAACCTGATACACATCTGAAAAAGAGGTCAACATGACGACGTATTTTCCACAGCTTCTGCCTAAGAGAGGTGTCTGCTTTCTCTATAACCTCCTACAATTTGCATCTCAAGACCATCCTGATCTTCTCCACCATCCATTCCTTTGTTGTGGTGACTGGATCAAGGGTATCCAAATCAGTCAAGGCTTTGCAACAAACCTGACATTGAGCAGAAGGTCCAGAGCAGTAACTAGCAAGCTGATTAGATTTCCAGTTCTGCAAACCTGCTCCCATGCCTGACTGTCCCTCCAGCTCTCTGGGTGAAGGCAGCCAGACTCATGGGGCAGTCAAGATGGGAGAGTGGGGAATGCGTCCTGCTGCTGTCCGCAGCTTGGATAGCTTTTCCAGAGCCGAGCAAACCAAAGCGAGTCATTCATCTGCCTCTGAGGTCTTCACTGAACCTTTTTCCAGGAGCGTTTCTTGGCATTATGGCAAGCAAGCAGGCTTAGCAGACCTCAATAGGTGATAGGAGCACATGTCACATGTGCCTCTGGCTGCAACGCATTGGCAGCTGAAGCAGGAGGTAGAAGTCCTATTAAACTGGAAATGAGAAACAAGAGGCCCTGGAGCTAACCAATTAATGACTTGGGAAAAAAAAAATCGCAGGCCCATGGTCAAATGTGGGGATTCTTTTCCGGCCTCCATTTTAATTAGACATGCATTGTCTTGCCTGAGTCGTGTCTCCCATATTTTGACACTGTGTCCTCATTTGTAATACAGGCAGCTAACATTTATTGAAAAAAATTTACTGTGCCTGGGACTGAGTGTGTGTGTGTGTGTGTGTGTGTGTGTGTGCTGATCTCATTTCAAAACTTTAGCAATCATGTCTACTTACATACTCTTTCCACTTAACAGATGAATCTACTGTGTCTCCATCAAGCTCAATTATCTTACAAACTGCCCACAACAGAGCTCAGACAAGAACCAAAGCACATACCTTTATTGAGCTCTTGGTGTTTTGTTGGGGGTGAACTTTGTCAATACAGTCTCCATGTTTCCCTGGCACACAGGAGCTCTTGACCAGCACAGCATTAATGTGATGTATTTTTTTTTCTAGATTTTTTTTTTTAACTCTTGCCAGAGGGGGGTTGGTACATGTGCCATATTGATCTTGTGGAGGTCAGGCTGAAGGAAAATTTTAGTGGTTGGTGCTCTCCTTCCACCTTTATGCAGGTTCCAGGAATCAAATGCACGGAAAACCCTTGCACCTGCTGAGCCATCCAATCGACCCTGCTGTCTTGCTGTGTTCTGCGCATCTTGCCTGGTGTTCATCTGAACTACAGAATGTTGACTGAAACCCACTTTGTTGACATAGTTGCTTATCCTATATTAAAAGGTCCCGCTCAGGACTGTTTCAAGGAAACCTAGGGAACCAGGGAAAACATCAAGGTGACACTGGTAATAGCACAGGACCACAAAGCACCCAAGAACGGGTATGAAAAGACACTAGGATTGTTGGAACCTCTAGAGGAGGCATGCAGTGGGAGCAGAACTCCTGACTAGGGCTCCTGCTTAGGAAAAAGAGAGACAGGGAGGAAAGAACAGCCTCCAAATAGCCACTCTATTATTTCCCTTCCCCATCCTGGGGCCTGGAAGAAACCATGGGCTGCGCCTCTGCCCTGGACTGTGAACACTTCATCTGGAGAACTTCACAGGGTGTCTGTAGGGCTGCAGTGTTTGCCTCTGATGAAAATCCTCTTGAGGAACTGTGAACACTGCTTTGATTTTAGAGAAGAAGAAGCTGAGGGTTATGGATACCAATCTTTCACTTGACTCACATTAGGAAAAGGTGCCTAATTTCTGCTTTTTACTGTGTGCCTGCTTTTTCCCACCCCCATGGCATGCTGGGAATAACACCTGGTGGAGCGCCTGAACAGCATGTGATGTACCTGTTCTGGATCTGTTCTTATCACAAGACTCCTAGATGATAATGTGCTCTCGTAAAACATTCAATTAGCCAGTCCTCCGGCTGTCAAGAACACCTGCTCAAACCTCGGCAACAGATACTCTATAATTATCTGCCTTCCACAACAAATGCCCTTTTCAGAAAAAAAAGCCATTCTTCCCGGGGAACTCATTCCCACAACCATCAATTTGGAGCAATGGTAAATTGGACCTTTCATTTTTCAGCTTTTGAACAGAGATCCTCAGTGCACCTTCCCAAGCTGCCATGGCTGCCAAGTGGACTGGTTTTCTTTTAAAGGTTGGAAAGAACTCTACACGCTCCCCTTGCCACTGCCCAAATTCCAACTGTTGATTGTGTGCATGGCTTATGTTGCTAAAAAAATAAATAAATAAGGTGGAGAGGGGTCTCGGGGTTTACAACCAAAGTAGCAAGGCACAAGAAAAACTTGTGCTACCAGTAGCTTACCAGCCACAACCCAGAGCAGGCCAGATAAGCTAACTGCCTCCCCTGGAGCAGTTCACCTGGGAAGGCTAGCCATCCTCTGCATGTCTGAGAGATGGGAAAGGGGCTTTGAAATCAGCCAGGCATGGACTTGAACCCCGGGTTTTACCTCTGAGTATGCCTTTTATCAAATCGCTCTGGCCTATAGATTTTCAGTCTACGTAGTGGGGCTAGCAGCCCAAAGCTCCATCTCGAAGCTAAACTCCCAGCACAGCAATTCAAGGATCTAAGGCTTTATGATCCTAGTGAATGTTCTGCCTCTCCTTTTCACCCACGTGGCAGGAGTTCAACAGCAGAGTACAGACACAGGAATTATTACTACTGTTCAAAAGATTCCAGACCTTGTCACAGCCCATGTGTGGCACATTTCTGCAGTGTTCATGAGGGAAGGCTATCACCTTTACGGGTAGCATGCATCAGGCTGGACTTTATACTTATACCCTAGTAACCTGTTAAGCAATTAAGAATTTGCAAAGTGGTTGAAGGGCTAGTACATGCCTGTAATCCCAGCACTTGGGGAGGCAGAGGCAGGCAGATCTCTGTATGTTTGAGGCCAGCCTGGTCTACAAAGTGAGCCCAGGACAGTCAAGGCTACACAGAGAAACCCTGTCTCAAAGAGAGAGAGAGAGAGAGAGAGAGAGAGAGAGAGAGAGAGAGAAATAGGGAGTTTGCAAAACATTTTAATATTCATCGAACTGCTAGTTTTACTGTTGACACAAGCTAGAGTCATTTGCAAAAAGAAAACCCCTACTGAGAAAATGGACCTGTGGGCACTCCTGTGGGATAGTATATTGATTGGATAAACAGGTGTGAGGTCTCAGCTCACTGTGGGCAGTGCTACCCTTGGGGTGGTGTTCCTGGGTGCTTGCTATATGAAGGCAAGCTGAGCAAGTCCACGGAAAATAAGTCAGCCAGCAGCATTGCTCCATGGCCTCTGCTTCAGTTTCAGTTTCAGCCTCCAGGTTTCTGCCTTGATTTCCCTCAGTGTTGGACTGCTACCTGGAAATGTAAACTGGAAAAAAAAAAAAAAACTTTTTCCCCCCCAGAAGTTGCTTTTGGTTATGGTGCTTACCACAGTAAATGGACACTCTATAAGTAAGGCACTCTTGACCTTTTATGCCTTATTGTGTGACACTGTGAAGAAACACACTCATTCTCATTTTTAAAGATGCCAGCTTGCTAGTAGCAGGTGAGGTCTAGGGCCCGTGTTCTGAATTCCAAGCCCTACTTATCTTATCACCACAGCCACAGGGCAGGAAAACAGCGTGCACAAAACTACAAGGTCATCAGCACTGTTATTGCAGCTCATTGAAGGTGAGGCAAAACCACAGAAAACACCTTGGCTGGGTAAAAGAAGAAGAAGAAGAAGAAGAAGAAGAAGAAGAAGAAGAAGAAGAA